AATCCCTCTCTTGCTGTGTCTCTCTCTGTCAAATAAATAAATAAAATCTTTTTTTAAAAATGCACAGAAAAAATAAAGATCAGAAGGATATGTTCCAAATTAAACAGGAGACTCTGGGTGAATGATTTATATTGAACAAAAATTACATAAGTAAATCTGTACTTAAGGAACAGTAATCTGGGAACAGTGTGTCATATGAACTGGAACAGAGAGAGAGAGAGAGACTGGAGATAGGACAACTATTTGGGAGGTCACAGCAATATTTTCAAGATAAAGGAAAATGGAATTTTATCAAGGATGAAGAAGGACTTAAGTACTATGCTTGATACTTTGCATATATAATCTCTTCTGATCCGTATAATAATCCTTACAAACAGTAATACTTACAGAACCATTTGCTGGGCACTTTGTATGTGCCAGAAATGTACATCCTTTCATTTAAATTTTAATTCTCACAATAATACTATGTGGTAGGAGTTATTATTCCAATTTCATTGATGAGTGCTTGCTTTGGCAACACATATACCAATTTCATTGATGAGAAAACTAAAGCTTAGATTCCTAGGGTTTAGAATTCCCAAGGCCATGTACCTGACAAGTATTGAAGATGGGATAAGGATATCGGAAATAGGAACAGAAGAATGACATTTTGACAACTAGTGTATGGCAGGGAATGGGGAAAGAGAAGAATAAAAGATGATGAACAAATAAAACAAAAATACCTAGTGCTCTGATCTTGGTTTCTTGATACTATTCTCCAGTAAAAGGAATAGGGGCTCCTTGGAGAATGGCTGATTCTAGGACTGGGACAGAAAATAAAAAGACGAGCCTGGAGCATCTTCTAGCGCCAGAAAGTAAGGAAGAGCTAAAAAAACAAAAACAAAAACCTACACTGTTGGGGGTACGTCAAAGGGACACAGGGCCAACTGAAATTTTCCAATGTCCAAAGCTGGAACATTTGAGCAATAAAATAAATAGTGGATAATAACCCAAAGTCCATATTGCTATAAATAAATGATTGAATAAATAAATGGAGAAGAGATAAATCTGCAGAAAAATTCCAAATAACATGTGTAAATACTCCATCCTTAAGGAAGGAAGTGTAACTTCCCTCTTTATGGGCCATGAATAGAGACTTCTATCTTGAGTGCAGTATGAAAAAGATAAGGGAAATAAGGGTAACTTTACTGTGGAGAAACCTTACAAACACTACTTCAGCCAAGTGATCATGGTCAGTATCAACAGTAAAAAAATTGTTATGATAGGTACCCCTGACATGATGAAAATGTCACTTTTCCTCTGAGGTTGTACACCAAAAACACATAACCCCAGTCTAATCATGAGAAAAACATCAGACAAATCCCAAAAGAGAGGCATCCTATAAAATACTTGACTAGTATTCCTCAAAACTATCAAGGTCATCAAAAACAAGGAGAAGTCTAAGAAACTGTTCACAGCCAAAAGGAGCTTAAGGAGACGTGAAAACTAAAAGCAATGTGGTATCTGGGATGGGAACCTGGAACGGAAAAGAAAGTTAGGTGAAAACTAAGGAACTCTGAATAATGTACAGACTATAATTAATAATGTATCAGGGGCACCTGGGTGGCTCATTCGGTTAAGCAGCTGTCTTTGGCTCGGGTCATGACCCTAGGGTTCTGGGATAGAACCCATCAGGCCCCTTGCTCAGCAGGGAGCCTGCTTCTCTGCCTGCCGCTCCCTCTGCTTGTACTCTCTTCCTTTCTCTGACAAATAAATAAAATCTTAAAAAAAAAAAAGTATCAGTATCACTTCATTAATTGTAATAATGGCACCGTACTGATGTAAGATGTTAATAATAGGACAAACTGAGTGACATATATGGGAATTGTATAATCTTCCCAAGTTTTCTATAAATCTAATACTGTTCTAAAAAGTAAAGTCTATTTAAAATTAAAAAGGGTGATAGTGCAAAAAGTTGATCTTGGTTTGGCTAAGTGTCATTAACAGAAATAAGGAAGGAAAAAAATACATTGATTTTGGGCAGACTGACTGTAAGGTATGACAGTATATTTAAGAATGAAAGTTATTCGCCCACCAATTAGAAAAGAGAATAGGCGACCAGGAAAAGAGGGTGGCACTAGAAACTAAAAAATTAAGGGACAAATAAGCAGTAAGGAAATGAAAACAGTATGTGGAGACCTGTTATTCAAGAAATCAGGCTGTGAACAGGAAAGAAATGATAGGCCTTGACTTTTCAATGAAACAGAAAGTTGGGGGGGGGGCGGGGAGTGACGCCATCTGCCATAAGAGAGAGAATTAGAAGGGAGGGTCACAGAATGCTGGAAAAGGTTGGGGGAAAGAGCCATGACAGAATGTAAGCAAAGGAAAAAGAACTGGAGAGAAGCCAGGATCTTGAACACTAAGTTTTATTATACTGAATGTGCTAGTTTTGTGCTTTTTCTCTAGCCATGTGCTATGGCCTAGACATTAGAAGCCAAGAAAATAGGTGATGGGTATGATTCAAGATAACAAAAGTGCTTGCTAAGTATAGATCAAAATAAATGAAGAAAAGCAATGAAGATAGTATCAAAGTGGCTAGTCACCAAGAGCAGCACCAAAGGTAGTCATGAAGGTACTGGTAGATGTAATGAAATGGGAAAGGTCAAGAACCGAAGAAGGGCAAAAAGCAGATTCTGTGGATACCAGAAACAGGTATGTGAAATAGGATGTGAAAAAGGTAACTGGTACAGAGGCTAAAGTAAGTGATGGAGAGCACCTAAAGGGGAAGCAGTGTCACAGAGGAGGTCCCGATTACAGTGATTCTGCTGTGCAGCTACTTTTTTTCTTTTAAGAATTTATTCATTTATATGAGAGAGAGAGAGCACGCAAGCACTGGGAGGAGCAGCGGGAGAGCAACAAGCAGACTGTGCTGAGCCCAAAGCCTGATGCCAGGCTGGATCTCACAGACACTGAGACCACCACCTGAGCTGAAACCAAGAGTGGGACACATAACAGATTGAGCCAGCCAGTCGCCCCTGATGTGCAGCTACTTTAAAAATACAAAGAAGGGGTGCCTGGGTGGTTCAGTTGGTTAAGAGACCGACTCTTGATGTCAATTCAGGTCTTGATCTCAGGGTTGTGAGTCCAAGCTTCAAGTTAAGCTCCACACTGAGCAAGACCTACTTAAGGAAAAAAAAAAAAATACAAATGACAGTCAACCATCTTGTGCTGAGGAACTATAAGATCAGAGTATTCCAAAGATGCTGGAGACACTGAGAATAAGAGCAAGAAACACTGGAGGAAAAAGTGTGATGCAACAAGGTCTGGGCCCTTGTGGGCAATAAATGATGGCCCTGAGGTTTTAGAGAAAACGCTATAATTGCATGGCGATACCTTCCATAAAGATTAGAGAGACCGTGGTAGGTTAATGATCTAGAAATAGTAAGAGAAAGCAAAAAAGCAGTGTGATTCCTTCTTCTACATAGCCACAGAGAATAGAAGATACCTCTTAGTAGGAGGGTAGGGTGAAACGTGGTACCTGGATTTTCATGAAATCAGTTTAAAAAGAAAATAGTTGGACGCCTGGGCGGCTCAGTCGGTTAAGCCGCTGCCTTCGGCTCAGGTCATGATCCCAGGGTCCTAGGATGGAGTCCCACATGGGAGTGGAGAGCCTGCTTCTCTCTCTGCCTCTGCCTGCCACTCTGCCTGCTTGTGTGTGCTCACTCTCTCTCTCTCTCTGACAAATAAATAAATGTTTTTAAAAATCTTAAAAAGAAAATAGTTAAAAATAAAGAAAAGTGTACTGGACAATGAGTAATATTTTCAAAGCACACATTAAAAGGAGCCAGTAGATGAAGGACCCACTAAGTAGAGAACTGGAGAAGAGAGGTTCTGTGTACGGCTTTGAAATGTGAGGCTGGGGAGAAACAGCAGAGTCCTAAAATACCATAGGAGAGGTGGGCTGAGATGTAAGGAACATGCAAGGTAGCAAAGCAAGAAGCATAAAGGGCACATTTTAAAACACGGCATACACAGTGTCAGTTCTATAGAAGATGCACATACACAGTGAAGGCTACAAAAAACAGTTAACACCTTGCCTTGCAGATTTTATAAATTGCTTTCACATATGCTATCTTATTTGATCGTCACTACGTAGATATTCCTATGCACATTTTTCTAAAGATGAGGAAATTAGGATGGGACAAAACCAGAATGAAAACACTGATTTCAGTTTTCAACACATAAACCTCCATACACAATGGACACTTCAGCACCTCAATCAGCCAGGCCAGAAATTCTTCTCTAACCAGAAGTAACAATGGATTCTATGAATTTGTCAGAGGGCTTGAGAGGCCACACTAGACACCTCCTGTTTGCCTTCTTCCTCCTCAGATCCCTCAACTTTTATCACCATCACCACCAGAGAAAACACAGAAGAGTGATGCCATCAGGAAGAAAACTCAAGCTGAAAGTTATATTGGGTTCTTCTTCCCTTCACACCTCTGAACCTCAGTGACCCAAAAATGAAGACGAGGAAGAGAATGGAAAAAGCATTATATAGCAATAAAGAGGTCTTTAACAGATACAACTTCGAGAAAGAGAATCAAAACGAAGCTGGGGTAGGGCAGGAGGCAGGTACAGCAGATAGATGGGGGAGGGGAACAGAGGAGGAAAAGCTGGAATTGGAGGGAACTGAGCGTGTAGGAGCTCCCAAGACTGGAGAAACCAAGAGATATGGGATCGCCAGCTACTGGAGAAAAGCTAAGGGCCCATGAGGGTTTGGAGCAGGGGCTTCCACTGAAGGACCCCAGGGTTTGAGTGACCGGAAGCAGAGACCCCTAAACACGAGACCAGAAGGGGGCGCAGGTGACACCCCATAGGAGAGAATGAATGGGGAAGGCGGTCCGGAGGGCGGGGCAAAAGGAGGGGCCCCGGGATGGGCGGGGCACAGACCCCTTTCCAAGTCCGAACCCCTGCCCCGAGAGCCCGGGGAGAAGCGGCTCCGCGCCTCCCGCACTCACCGCCGGTCTCGTCAGTTACATAGGGAGTCGCCATCTTGAAAACGCAAACCACTTCCGGCGTGAGCGGGCTGGGGTCCCGCCCCCCTCCCCACCGGAAGTGGAGTCCCGATCATAGCCAGCCACCATTTTAGTCTTAAAGGGAGAGTACACCATTTCGTAAGGAGGTGGAGGAGGCAAAAGGTAGAAGAAGCTAAAGACTTCAATAAATAAAAGCCGTAGACTCTGTTACTGCCACGGATATCAATATTGGGTGCCTGCTCCGTGTAAAGCAGTCCTCTGGGCGCCGAGAGAAGTTCCGAGGCACGGCCCCTCTCCGTCGTCCACGACCTTCCAGGGAAAAGGGGGCAAGGCCCACCTGTACCCGGAAAGTGGGGCTGAAAACTGAGTTAGAATATTCAAGCCTTAGCCTGCACCGAGGTCCCAGAGCGGCTTGGGGAATGGGGCGCGCAAACTCTGGGAACGCACTGGGGCGCACCAATGTTGTCAGGGGTGAATGGAAGACCCACAACTGACCCTCTCTTAGGAAGTGGGGCGGTCGAAATCGCTTGTCGATTGCCCTCGGCTACCCAGCTCAACCCTCGGGACAGAGATCCGCGAGAGGGGTGTGCAAGGCAGAGGGTGCTGCCGGTCGGTCACCTGTCCCCAAAGCCTCAGGGTTGCTGGCGATTTCCACGACCGAGCCGGCGGTGGGCCGGGTTGGGCGGGCAGCCCTGGCTAGCCCTGCCCCTGGGGCGGCCCCGAGGATTCGGGCGGCGTAGTGAGGACGGACCAAATTTGCTCTGGCCTTCGACCCCGGGAACCTCCTCAGGCTGGGCCCCGGGGTCAAAAGGCAGAGTGAAGGCTTCGGGGCGGAGCCAGTTAATATTCTAATGAACCTAGTCCAGGTCTGGGCGCTGGGGATCCAAAGCCGGGCAACTCGCCAGTAGTCGGGGCTTGTACGGTCACTCCCTTTGCAGTCCGGCCCGCCCCGTGCCTCCCTATTCTTTAGAGGAACCCAAATATTTTCCCTCCCTCGCTCTTTTCAGCAGCTGTCGTTCCTTAAGGGCTAAATCCTGCTAAACTAGTTTCCCCTACAGCCTGGGAGCGGCCGGCTGCAGGTTCCTCCCCTCAGGTATTGGCTCTCCCAACTACGTTGTTGGTTGTTTTTTTTTTTTTCCTTAGTGTTTTACCTTCCTCCAAATCCCCCACTTTGGCTTAGGTTAATGTCCAACTGTACCGCTGGAACCCGTAGAGAGGGGCAAATATTAGTGACTACCTCTAATACTAGCTGTGTGCCCACTTAAAAAATAAAAAGGTGAGCGTAATGACTGACCAGCAACTTCCTAAAGCTTTGACATGAAGCTTTTGAAGTTTTCTCAGGTCACAGCTTGTCTTCCATCCCATGCTTTACCTTCTGACTTCCACCAGAGGCCCAACTCAAAAGGTCTCAAAAAGACTCATTTTAAAACTGATTTGCATTCCATACACACTTATTGCAAGTGTTCTAACACTGCCATTCTTAACCCCTACTCTCTTTCAACAATGTGCTTAGGTCTCACTGAGTCAGCATCCTGTCCTTAGCCTTGTTACTAATGATTATCACAGGTGAGAGTGTGGGCTGAAACCTTTAGAAGGATATGTTGCACCTTTCTCCAAGAGTGAATCCTAAAGTGGCCCCTATCCACCACCAACCTTAACCCTCCCTCCCCTTGTACCCGCAGACATTTTGCCTCTGTTCTGGGTTTGACAGGAAGTGAAACTCAATTGTCTGCCCAGCAGACCTGACTGGGACCCAGCCCTGGGCCCCGGATGTGCCCCCCCACCCCACACAAACACACACCCTGTGAAGGAAGAGGAGAAAGAAGAGGCTGGGGAGAGCAAGGCTGTTGTTTTTTCCTTTCCCTTTGCTCATTGCGGTTTCTTTCTTTCTGATTTTTGTGATGTGGTTGATTAAAGAAATGAGCACCTGGAACAGTAGGCATTATACGCCTCCTCCTTAGATGTTTCTTGGCCTTTCTCCCCCTCCTACCCTCACCAATAACTGACGATGTATGATGGACCACAGATCCTAAAGAAGACACAAAGAAGCTTTGGGTATGACCGATTTCATCCTATTCTTTAGAGAGATCACCCCGGGCCCCACTTTGAAGTCTCAAAAAAAAAAAAAATCTTAACATATCCAAGGATGGAGTGAAAAACACAGGTCATATGTAATGTGTTATCACCACTAGCATTGTTTGCAAGCAAAGCTGAGTGCCTTAAGGCTTAATATCATTCTAGATGAGAGGTCCAGGGGCAGAAAACTGCAGGAGGTGCTAGGAGACTTGTTCTTTCTTATATTGTATGTTCAGGATGGCTTAGAGTGGGGAGGCTTTACACATACACACACACACACACACACACACACACACACACACCCCCCAAGCCACTCTTTACTGCAGTCCTTAAGTTGTGCTATGTCTTTGGCTGACTACAGAACTAAGCACAGGACCTAGTGCATAATGGGCCTTCAAGAGGTTATGATTCCTTATGACTAAAGAGGTTATATAGGTAGGGGACAGGCTCAGTGGGTGGAGCATGTGATTCGATCTCTGTGTTGTGAGTTCAAGCCCCATGTTGGGTGTGGAGATTACTTTAAAATAATAATTTTTTAAAAAAAAAAGGAAGGGGAGAAAAATCATGGGGATAGCATGGCCCTTGTCTTTTTTTTTTTTTTTTTTTAAGATTTTATTTATTTATTTGACAGACAGCGATCACAAGCAGGCAGAGAGGGGAGGAAGCAGGCTCCCCGCCGAGCAGAGAGCCCGACGCGGGGCTCGATCCCAGGAGCCCAGGATCATGACCCAAGCCAAAAGCAGAGGCTTTAACCCACTAAGCCACCCAGGTGCCCCGGCCCTTGTCTTTTTAAGACTGGGAGACAGGAGCAGAGAGACAGACCTTCTCCAACCCCTGCCTCCTTCAGATCTCCAGTTCAGGTACAACAATACTCCCAAGCCCTATTTCTCAGCAGTTACATTTCTGATAAAAATGAAGGTTTTTTTCCAACAAGCCTGTATGGAAACATTCAAGAACTGCTTAGATCCCTTCATTGCCACTAGAGGGCCTCATGTATTCATGCCTTCTCTCCAACCCCCACCAAAAGTATGTCTATATTATGTGTGTATATGCGTATACACACACATACACACATCACACAATACAACCTTCCAGTCAGAGCTCACCCCTCCCTCTCTCTTCTATCACCAGGTGTAAGAGGGAAGATTCCAGGAACTCAAGCCCTGTTACTGTGCCCTAGTTCAAGGACGGGTAGGAGGGGGTTAGCCTGGGTTGGGGCGGGGCCAGGGAGGAGGATGCCTGGGTCCCCAGTTCCTACCAGTAAGTCCTAGGCCTCTGTCTATCTCCGTTGTACTCACAGTCAGTCCCGCCATCATCCATGCTGCCCCAAGAGCCTTAACAACTTCAAAACAGATTCCAGACAGGAGGAGCTGAAAGGATCTTCTCTCACCCCTACTTCTGGCGGGGGCCTTTTACAGCACCTGCCAAGATCAGCAGGTAAAGTGGGAGGGTTAGAGCATGGAGAAAGAGTGGACACCGACCTGAGTGCTCCTCGCACCTGAACAACCCGAGAATTAAGGGAAGGCCCTGAGTCTTAAGAGAAGGAGGTGTACTTATATTGGGGAAAACAAGTCTGAGCCCTCTGGGGTTTGGGTTTTAGAGGGGTGAAAAACCTAGAGGCAAAGGTGGGCCTCAAACAGTGTTAAACACTGCGGAGCCCATGGGAGGAGGGAGGCATTTGTATCTCACGATGCAGTGTCTGGGACTCTGGGCTTGCTGCTGTGGAATCTTCTGGGTATGAATTCTGTCAGTGGTGGATGGAAAGGAGTTGGGGGGGTAAATCCCTGGATGGCGGCAATTAGGAGAGGGTCAGACGTTGCCTGGGTGGGTCCCTGCTAAGCTGTGCCATCAGCGGCCCTGCCCTCTATCATGACCTCCCAGGGCTGGGATGAGGGAAGAGGCTATGGGTTGATTAGAAAGACTGGAAGATGGATAGAAGCCGAGCTGTCCCGAGGCGGGAAGAAGATGAGAAGCGCAGGATGTGGAGAAAGAGGCACAGGCCAGAGCTCTGGAGATATTGGGGGCGCGGGGGGCGGGTGCGGCTCAAGCTTGGTGAACTGGAAACAGGGGCCTCTCCAGACCGGAGTTCCCGTAGTCGGGGTCGCGGGCACTGGGCGCGGGCGGCCAGGCCGGGGCGGGGGGCGGGCAGCTGTGTCGTCAGGAACGGGGCGGCCTCGCGGCGGCCGCGCCTGCCTGGTCCGTCCCCTCCAGCCCCGCTCGGGCTCCAGCTCCCGTGCCGGCGCTTCAGCTCCCACCGCGCGCCCTCCGCAGGCAAGGTAGAGACCCCGCGAGGCCCCCGAGCCTCCCACCCTCCCCACCCCCCGGAGCCGGAGGGGGCGGGGGCCGCGGGAGGGGCCGCCGCGGGGCTGGGTTAGGGCTGCTGGGCAGAGAAGGAGGAAGCCCCACAGCTGGAGCGGGTAGCTAGAAGGGTTTGCGCCAGGACGCGGGGGGCAGCTGGAGAGCTGGGCCAGAGCTCCCTAGGCAGCGTCTCCCCCAGACCTTCCCCTCCATCCCCCCTGTCACTCGGAGGGATGGTGAAGCTTGGCTCCTAGGGGCCCGAGTCAAGCGAAGTCCGTTTTGGAACCTCCACAGCGCTGCAGGGGTGCACAGGGGTTCTTCTTTGGCCTCCTGGTGCCCAACTTCCCACCCCTACCCTTTCCACACCTGTCACCGGGAAGTTTCTGAAACTACCTGGGTCTGAATCCCACTTTTCACCTCTAAATGGGGGAAGTGAGCTTTACTGAGGAAGAAATGTGACTACTACTGGGCATCTCTTCAGCCTCATTACTATGAGCCCACATCCCCCAACCATGCCAACATCGTAACTTCCTCCTGTACTACACACACACTCTCTCTCTCTCTCTCTCTCTCTCTCTCCCTCACACACACACACACACACACACACCCTTAATCAGGCAACATTACCATCTGCAGTGTTTGTGGAGGCTTAATGAATTTTGAGACTTCAAGGCTAATGATTCCCTTGCCAGGGCCACTGACGAGTAACAGGGATGAAAAGAAAAATAGACCTTCCCTCGGTCCTGGGAAAGAGGAGGAGGATGCAGGCCCTGGTGTGGTTAAGAGATTCAGAAGTCCAGGTAATCAGGCCTGGACCTGCCTCTTGGGTTTCTTGCTGGGTCAGCCTGAATGTTCTGGGGGCATAGCTGATTCTTGAGTAATGATGAATTTATATGATTTGGAATGGGAGTGACAAATATTGAAGTGGAAAAGGAAACTTTAAATATTGGCACTGGCCTTGGAAATCATATTTATTTCTTGGTTATGAGCAATTTTGGTATTTACTGTTTAAAGTAAGATCTAGAAAGTAGAGGTGCTATGATTTAATGGAATGGACAAAGGACAGGATGTCTGGAATTTGGGTATGACCCTGAGATTGTGGCTCTCCGTCTGGGCCTCAGTTTCCTCCTCTGAAAAGTGTGAGAGTTGGTACCTCCCAGCTCTGAGGATGTTCCAGGAGTCTCTGCCTCCAAGTCAGCTTCTTACTTTCTCACCTCAGGTTGGTAGGGGTGGGCAGGGAAGCCAGAGGAGGGAAAGGAAGGGTGAGTCACAGATAGCTGGCAGGCGGGCAGCAGACCTCACCCGCCCAACCCTGGCATTCGCCTGGACTAGCCCAGGTTATAGCCTCAGGGCTGGGATGGAGCAGGGAGGACAAAATTGGACTTGTTATGGTTTGTTAGGGTCCAGGATCCTAACAGTTTATATGCCTTTCAGCAACACGGGCAGCAAAACTTTTGGTGAGACAAGTCAGGAGGACAACTGAAAAGATACCAGGAGCCCTTTGTCTGAGGTCCCAGCCCAGAGGTGTCCTTGGACCTTGACAGTCTAGCTTCTAGCCACCTCCTCACCCTCCCAAAGGCAGAGTGCAATATCTCAATACTCCATGTCTATGCCTGAGATGACACAACGGGGCAAAGGGTATGACTGGGCTTCCCTGCTCTTGGGAGCCCCTAGAACTGATGACTTCCTGCCACCATTTTTCCTAATGTCCAGATGTGTTTCTCCATGTAACACCTTTGTATAACAACAACAACAGTAAGAGCTAACATTTACTGAATTCTTTCTCTGTGCCATACAACTGCTTCCTCCGTGCCTTACAATAGCTAAGTTTATTACATGTATTATCTTACTTAATCTCCATGCTGTGACTGATTTCTCCAGGTACACATTTTACCAATGAGGAAACAGGTTCAGGAAGATGAAATAACTCACCCAAGAGCCAGGATTCTAATCCACGCCTGTCTAGTTCAGAAGTCCATTCCCTTAAATTCTACTATAAATTACATGCAAGATCTGGGGGAACTAGGAGGGGTCGTTGTGAAAAGAGAGATGTGTCTTCTCTCCTGTTCATCATCCCTCTTTTGCTCTCTCCTTGTCACCTTCTCTCTCAGATTTCATTTCCAAGAACCTTGGAGCCATCTAAGAATCCCCAGGGGTAATCAGAGAGACTAATTAAGCCATAGAGGCCCAATTAGCCCTAAGACTATTATGTATTCATTAGATCTGTTGGCAGTAGAAGTTGGATTATAGTCATTGAAAAGAACCAGATGGGTGGAGTCCTTTCTCCAGATTATCAGTGTCCTAGGATCCCCTTTTTAGTGTTCCCAGAGAGCCCGCAGAGGAGGAGTCGTATACTACATAGATGTGGACAGCAGAGATGTCCCAAGTGCAGAGGCTGCAAAGAAGATTCTTGCACCATCAGAAAGGAAATTCTTGTAGGCCCTAACTGCCTCCTTGAGCCTTACCCAACAAACCCTAAATAAATGGGCAAAAGAGAGGCAGAAGCCCCAGATGGAATGCCACAGTAAGTGCTTTTTAGCAAAATTCATTCATTCAACAAATATCTATTTAGCACCTCCTATATGTGTTACAAATTATTTCCTCTTCCTGTCCGGATGGATACTCTGGCATCCCATTTAAGCATATTTGGACTACTATTTTTGAACCTATGGCTCCCTAACTTTGCACAATGATTTGTATAAACAATATGGAGCACCTATACCACGCTGGGCACAGGCTTAGGAATTGGGGATATAGTGGGAACAATACTGACAATTCCTGCCCTCGTGGAACTTAGCTTTTGGTAGGAGAAGACAAACAGTAAACAAAGAAACAAATAAATTAGCAAGGTAATTTCCACTCTCGATAAGTTCTATGAAGGAAACAAAGGAGGCTGCTGTGCAAAAGATGGGGGTGTGCTTTGGGAGGGAACAATCGGGGAAGGTCTCTTGAAGGAGCTGACACTTCAGCTGAGGCAAGAAAGCAGCTCTGCCAAGAGTGGGGAAGGGTGTTCCAGGCAGAGAGAACAGTATGTCTCATGGCCCTAAGCAGGGGAGAACTTGGCTTGAGGAACAGAACGGAGGGCAGTGAGATCAGAAGGCAGTGTGTGGAGGGGAGAGTGGAACAAGAGGAGGACAGAGAAAGGCAGGGGCCCCATGACATGGTTCTTGGGGTAGAGCTTTGACTCCCACTTATCACCTGCCGTGGGAAGTCCCAACCTCTTCAAACTCCAGTTTCTTCCTGTGAAGAATGGCTCTAACAGGAATTTCTTATCTCATAAGATCTAATTGTAATTGTTAGTACAATAATAAGTACCATTTCTTGTAGGCCTTCTATATGCAGGTGTCATACTGGGTACTTTTTGTAGGTTATTTGCCTTAATCTTCACAGCTGTGGCAGATAGGAATCATTCTTCCCATTTTACAGATGTCATGTGTCCCAGTCACACAGCGGTATCAGAGCTAAGAACAGAACCCAGATATGACTAACTAGTTTTGCTGGACTCCTAAACACTGCTGTACTATGCCAGTGTGAGATATTACTGCTATTGCTGTTATTGAATCTTCCAGTCGAATTGACCTCTGAGACTTGGCCCAGGGCCATTGGGCACCGTGATCCACGTGATGGCTCCTCCTTGCTCCCTGGGTCCCCTAGCTGCAAGTTAGGACTCCTTGAACCTAGCAGGGTGCAAGGAAAACCCCGCGTCTGAGATTCCCGCACTCAGCTCACCCTCCTACTAGTGGGAAGCGAGGCAGATGCTCAGAGCCTTCTTCCCCTACTTCCTCCCAATCTCGCGCGCCTGGGTCCCCGCCCTTCCCCAGTGGAGCTCTGAAGGGCGCTGGTGAGGCGGGGCCGGGGCCAGGGACCTGGCCAGAGCTGGTTCTGTGTCGCGCGTCAGAAGCGCGCTAGAGGTCGTTGAGGGGCGTGGGTGGTTCGGGACGTGGGTGGCTGAAAGGGGCTGGGGACCGAGGCTGGAGGCGGAGCAAGATGGGATCGTGGCCGGGGAGGCGTGCCACAGAAGCAGTGAGAACCACCCGAAGGGCCGAAGGACCAGGACTGCGGGATGTGAGAGGGGAGAGATCGTAGAGACTGAGGGTGGCAGGAGAAAAGGTAGAAACGGAGGAGGGACACACCCACAGAAACACATATAGACTGGTAAAGCCAGGTGGGGGGAGGGTGAAGAGAGGGGAATGGGGAGAGTCAGAAATGAAGCAAGACAGATTCGGGGAGAAATCAGAGAGATGGAGAAGGATCCAGAAATGGAGGGGAGAGAGTCAGAGATGAGTCAGAGAAACAGACACAGAGGACAGACTTGGTTAGGGAGAGACAGACTTAGGGGAGAGGTCCAAGGGGAAAGGAAGTGACTTGGGAAAGAACAGAAATAATAGTGGGAGTGGAGAATTAATGGAGCAGACAGGAGCAAAGTCAGGCAGACAGATGGCTCTTCCTGCCACATACTCTTCCCATCTCCCTCCAGACCTACACTCGGAAGCGCAGGTTCAGACGCCAGAAGTACTACCAAGCTGCCTTTTTAGTCTTCCTTAAGAAAAAAAGAAAGATGGCCAAGGAGAAGGGCCTAATCAGCCCCAATGATTTTGCCCAGCTGCAGAAGTACATGGAATGTGAGTCTTCCTCTCTGTCCTGAAGTTCGGGAAAAATTATCCCAGACAATCCCTACTCCTCATCCCCCCTTCCCCTAGTTTCCCCAGTGGTCTTAATCCAGTTGGCTCCTGACATAATGCCAGGGAATATGGCTGGGAAACGGAGGAGAGGGAGATGGGGCGATGTCTGTGGTCTCGGCTTTCCACCCACCTTTTCTGAATCTCGAATGCCTGCTCCAAGTCTCAGAGAAGAGATGTAAACAGAGGTACCACTCTGGAGCATTTGAAATGTTAGTCTTTCGATATTTCTCTCTGCATCTCTGTGTTTATTCCTGGAATTTCTTCTTTCTTCATTTGACTAGAATCTTTTTTCCTGTTGGATGTCTGGGTGGGACTCTGTCAGAGGGCAGGGAGAGCCAAACCAGACTAATGCTCTTCCTTCATCCTCTTCATACCCCAGACTCCACCAACAAGGTCAGCGATGTCCTAAAGCTCTTTGAGGATGGTGACATGGCTGAATATCTCCAAGGAGATGTGAGTGGCAACTGGGAAATCCTCTCCTTGCCCAGCTCCTCCCATCTTTGATTTTGCTACTCCGCTGGGATTCCCAACTTCCAGGGATTATTCTGGGCCCTCCCCTTTCTGTTCTCCCTCTAGATACCCCAGTGTCCATTGTTACCACAGCTATTGCTATAGGAGAAAGCAAGAGATTCTAATTGAGGACTCAGCCTTGAGAAGAAACCGTAGTCTGCCTTGGATGCTTCTTAGCCCTACACTTGTCTCTGTCCTTGCTACTCCTAGTTCTTCAGTCCCTGCCTCCCATCCTGCACACTCCCTAGGGTAATGCTTGCTCTCATCATAGGCCATTGGGTACGAGGGATTCCAGCAATTTTTGAAAATCTATCTGGAAGCAGATAACGTTCCCAATCACCTAAGCCTGGCACTGTTTCAGTCCTTCAAGATGGGTCACTTAGAAGACACTGTGAAAAATGGTATGGTCATGAAGGTGGGACTGGGCTGGACTTCCGGAAGAAAAATCAAAGTAGTATGGGTTTTGGGGTGAGAGTTGAATTGAATTACATTTTGGAGGCAGGGTTGGGGAAGAGAGGTGAAGGATGGCCATTCTGGTCTAGGAGGTGGAGGGGGGAAAGTTAAAGGGAAGAGTTGGAACAAAGGAAAAGAGAAGAGCCAGAGTGGAGAGACCCCTAACCTCAGATCTACTGTCCTTTCTGTAACCAGATGTGGTGTATCTCAGTGATGTCTCCTGCTACTTTTCCCTTCTGGAGGGTGGCCGACCAGAAGACAAGCTAGAATGTGAGTTGCCATCCTGGACTGGGAGAAGGAAAGAAAGGAGAGTAGAGGGGAGGGGGTATTTCCCAGCCTTCCTTCCCTCATTTTTTCAGGACTCCTAAAAGCTGACAGGGCCAGACAAAGGTGGGGCCAGAGTATGGGCTCATTTCCTCTGTTTCCCAGACTTCTTATCCCTAATGCCATGCCAGTTCCCGTGTCCTGTATTTTTTTATGTGGGTGGCCTGGGTTTTTCTGGGTTTGTGGGAGGTGTGTTCTGTCTCCCCTATTAGATTCACCAAGGGTTGAATCCAGGCCTGTTTCCCCTCCCTTTTTGTCTCCTCTCTCGGTCCCAGTGCCAGGCTCTGGGCTCTTCATCTAAAAGATGTCTCCCACTTCTTTATTTCCCCTGTATTCTGTTATGAATTTGGGGGCTATTCCTCACAAACTGACCCTGGCCCCCCTAAAACACCCCACAGTCACCTTCAAGCTGTACGACACGGACAGAAATGGGATCCTGGACAGCTCAGTGAGTTGGGGGACCTGTATGCTGGCCAAGGGAGTATGTGTCCATTTGTCTGTGCCCTCCTGTCCCAACTCTTCCAGGATCTTAAGAAGCAGAGGAAGCTAGAGGGAGAAGCCAAGTCCTCCAGGACTAAATTTGGGAGTGGGTCCCCAGATCTTGGCTCCTTAAAGAGGAGGCTAGAGACATGAATTGGGAGCTGCCTTGCAAACATACCAACACACATAGACACTCATGTACTTGGCAGAGATACCTGAGAATGAGAGGTGGCTCTTGGGTGGCCCAGGAACCCTGATTTCTAGAGAAGAGTTTGAATGGTGGTAGTGAGGTGGGATATGGCTGTGGCTCTTACCTCTTGGCCCCCAGGAAGTGGACAGAATCATCATACAGATGATGCGAGTGGCTGAATACCTGGATTGGGATGTGTCTGAGCTGAGGCCGGTAAGGCAGTTTTTCCTTCATGTCCCTCCTTGTGCCTTCTCTCTGGTGAATCCTGCATCTATCTATGCCATTTCTGACAGGCGGCCGGGTTCCCTTGGCAAGGATGGCTGGGCTGGATGTCCTAGGGGGCAGAGGTGTCAGACCACACCAAAAGTCCCCTCCATTCCCGGCTCAGATTCTTCAGGAGATGATGAAAGAGATCGACTATGATGGCAGCGGCTCTGTCTCCCTGGCCGAGTGGCTCCGGGCAGGGGCCACCACTGTGCCATTGTTAGTGCTGCTGGGGCTGGAGATGGTGAGTAGGAGAGACTTGTGGAGATGGGTAAGATAGCTGCCTTGGGTTGTGTGTGCCAAGGGCTGGAGCTCTAAGGGCTCAGGCTCTCCCTAGCATCTACTTTGTCCTCCCAGACGCTGAAGGACAATGGACAGCACCTGTGGAGACCTAAGAGGTTCCCCCGACCAGTCTACTGCAACCTGTGCGAGTCAAGCATTGGTCTTGGCAAACAGGGGCTGAGCTGTAACCGTGAGTGATGGAGCTGGGGGGTGTGGGGGCAAAGGGACAGCCCAGCTACCTGCAGGAGCATGCTGCTTTGACCTTCGAAAGATCTGGGTTCAAGTCCTGGGCTCTGCCATTGGCTCGTTAAGTGGGAAAGCCACACAACTTTCTCTTCCTTTCTTTCTTTCTTGAAATACAGTTGACACGTAATGTTACATTAGTTTCAGGTGTACAGCATAGCCACAGAACATCTTTAAGCCTCAATTTAAAATGAGGTTTCCTTGACTGAAAATGAGATAACTGGGAGCATTGAATAAGTGGATGCAAGAAAAGTACTTCACATGGGGCATGTCCATACTGTTAAGTCTGCAATAAAAATTAGCTGCTATTATTATTGTTATTGCTGTTGTTAAATCTAGGCCTCCCTTGCATCTTCCAACTGAGTTCCTGGCATTTAGAAGGAATGGGAGTAGGCATGGGGTAGCCATTGCTCTTTCACGGGGAAGAGTGACCAAAAGGCACAGGTATTGGAGGTGAGCCCCCACACTCTCACAGCAAGGGCTTATATGTCTTGTTTAAGTGAATAATCCCGCCTTACACCAAGGTAAGGAGGAGATAGGGGAGGGGCTGTAACTAAGGCTCTGACCCTTTTCCTTCTCGCCCAGTCTGTAAGTACGTCGTTCATGACCAGTGTGCCATGAAGGCCTTGCCTTGTGAAGTCAGCACCTATGCCAAGTCTCGGAAGGACATTGGTGTGAGTGATCCCATGCCCACCCCAATACCAGCTGCATCCTGGCCCTGCCCCTAGCCAGTTTCTGCCCTCAGCCCTTCCCCTAGTCTCTGCTCGGACCCTCTCAGACAAGGGATTGCCTTTCTCCCCAAGGTCCAGTCACACGTATGGGTGAGAGGAGGCTGTGAGTCTGGCAGATGTGACCGCTGTCAGAAGAAGATCCGTATTTACCACAGTCTGGTTGGACTGCATTGTGTGTGGTGCCACCTAGAGGTCAGTTTGGGAGCTATCCAGCCTCTGCCTTGGAACACCTCCCTAATCTACCCTCTGCGCTGGTCTCCCTGACAGCAGCTCCCTCATAGCCACAGTTGCCCTTGCTTCCAAGGACTCTCTTTCCAGTACCAGACCCTCAGAGCTGAGAGGTGACAGGTTCCCTCCATGATGTCTGTATGCCCACCTTGTCTTTCAGATTCATGATGACTGCCTGCAAGCCATGGGTCATGAGTGTGACTGTGGTCTGCTCCGGGATCACATCCTGCCTCCATCTTCCATCTATCCCAGTGTCCTGGTGAGACCCTTAGGCAGTGGCTAGGAGGGGACAGGAGGAGTGCATCCCTGATTTAAACACACACACACACACACACACACACACATGCACACGCATGCCATGGCCTTTATAGCAGAGAGCCTATACTTTCAGGATTCGAGTCAGACCTTTATCTGTTTAGGGATTCACATACAATCCAATTTTCTTTCCCTTTGCTTCTCTCCCTTTCTAGGCCTCTGGACAGGAGCGTAAAACTAGCAAAACAAGCCAGAAGACCATGGATGACTTACATTTGAGCACCTTTGAGGCTCTGCGGGTACATGAAGGGGGTGGGTTTTTCTTGGCTGGAGCCCTCATAGGAGGGAATGAAGTGGGAAAGGTGGGGAATGGCACTTGTTCTCTACAAGCCTCACAAGCATCTCTGGGGACGGGCCAGCCTTCTGCCACTGTCTCTGGGGCCCATCTTAACTCTGAGAAAATCCTGTTCTCCTTATCCTTGTTTTTTTTTTCCCCCCCAAATGCAGATTGACCCTGTTTCTAACACCCACCCACTTCTGGTCTTTGTCAACCCTAAGAGCGGCGGGAAGCAGGGGGAGAGGTGAGAAGAGACATACTGGGTCTTCTAAGATGGAGAAGGAGGACCCATAGAGGTTGGGAATCTGTGTGTATGGAGGAGGCACCTTGAGAAAGACATCAAGAGGGTGGAGTACAGACTGTCCATCCCTTACCATAAACTCTCCTTTTTCCCTCATACAGGGTGCTTTGGAAATTCCAGTATCTACTCAATCCTCGACAGGTATTCAATCTCCTAAAGGACGGTCCTGAGCCAGGGTGAGTATAGGTTGGGGGCTGTATTGTAGTGTTTGTATGTGTCTGCCTGTGTACGTTGGAGGAGAGCAGAAAAGAACACATGTCGGGAGAACAGGGCTAGGGGACCCCAAGAAAGCAGAATCCGGAATGCTGCTTTTACTAGTGTCACTGGCTATCCCCATACCCCTGAGTTCTCTGGTTCAACTTTGTTCTGCTCTCAAAACATGAAAATACCAGTTTCTCCCTAACCACTGATGAGTGGCTATAACTTTCCCAATTGTATTTTTTTCCTCTGACCTTAACAGAAACAAGTCTTTTGACAAAGGGAAAGGGGGTCCTAAGGAATAAGAGATAAGAAGTAATCTGCCTGTCCAGGAGTTGGTAGACTCAATCCTATTGTCCTTCCTCATCTTCTCTCTTTCCTTTTATCTCAGGCTCAGATTCTTCAGGGATGTCCCTGGTTGCCGGATTTTGGTGTGTGGTGGAGATGGCACAGTAGGCTGGATTCTAGAGACCATAGGTCAGTACAGGGAGAGGCTCTGGGAAGGGCACTGGGGCACTGGCCTTCTAGAGCTAACTCCATCCATCCATCCCCTGACCTGCTTCCCTAGACAAAGCCAACATGCCTGTTGTGCCTCCCGTTGCTGTGTTGCCCCTGGGCACTGGAAATGATCTGGCTCGTTGCCTAAGATGGGGAGGAGGTAAGTGGTTAAAAATTGTTTTCCTGGGAGAGGGAGGGAGTTGGGTAGGAAAGGAAAGGCACATAGAGAAGGTGTCTAGGCATTGTTATAGAAAAGAGGGTTGGGGAAGAAGAGGGACACGGATGGGTGGTTACCAAAGTGGATTGTCCCCAAGGAAGAAAGCTTGGGATGAAGCAAAGACCACAGTCTGAACCTAGAAGGGTCAGGGTGACAGTCCTCTTCCCTATACACCTAAAAATATCTTTCTGTTTCTCCAACCAATTCTTAGGGCTCATAGAATCCAGAAATACAGAGGACAATGTGGGAATAAGAAAGGTTGTAAAAGAGCTAAACCAGATGTTCAGTGATCGAGCTAGCAGGGAGCTTGGCCGTGATTCATTCAGCCACTCAGCCAGTTAATCAGGGGTCATTCATTCATTTATAATCATTTCTTCCTAAGTCAATTGCAACAATTTCTTAAATATACTCTGGTCTTAAATATACTCTTCAAATAGAGTTCAAAGGATGGTCTTAGTAGATAAATAGGTCAGGGTGGAGCAGGTTGAGTCTGAGTTGTCTTTTTTTGAGGCTGTTGGACTCAGAGTCCAGCTCGGAGATCTTGCAGAAGTTTATAGAATAGGGGTCTGCTAAGGAAATTGAAAAGCACTCTAGATAGAAGTTGTGTAAGGCCAAATGAGCCACCAAACAGCATGGTAGTGCATGTATTAGGGAGTGTGAGCCCATTGGTTATGAATGGGACATGCAGTACAAGGTGGGGAATCGGGGGAGGAAGAACTGAGTTGAACTGAGTCCAGATTACGGAGGGTCATGAATGCTGTGCTGAGGAGTTTTTTACTTTATCCTGACAGAGATTGAAAGCAGACAGCCCACAGAAATGATTTGTATTGTTTTGCATTGTTTGCCTTGCAGTGTTTTAAATTTTTTAAACCTTGCCTATTTCTAAGAAGTGGGTCACATATTCTTCAGTTCACCACGATCTCTTCAGCTCTCTGCTAGTCACTCGTTCACTTCATCTTTCTAGCCGCTGAGGCATTTGAATGTGCAAACCCTGAACCATACGGAACTCCTGAACTTATGAAAAATGTAACTCAAAGAAAAAATAGGCATATATATGCCTATTTGCATATATTTACATATATAAGTACATATACATATATAAGTATATGCAAATAGGCATATATAAGTCCTCTATATATACGTATGTAAAAAACCTGTTGTGTATATAAAATATTATTCCAGAATATAGAAATATCTAATACATATTATTATAATCTAAATCTCATAGTAGGGACACCTGGGTGGTTCAGTTGGTTAAGCATCTATCTTTGGCTGAGGGCATAATCCCAGGTTCCTGAGATGGAGCACCATGTCAGGCTTCCTGCTCAGCGGGGAGTCTGCTTCTCCCTCTCCCTCTGCCCCTACGCCCTGCTCTTGCTCTCTCTCACTCATTCTCTTTCTCAAATAAATAAATAAACTCTTAAAAAAATAAATCTTGTATATAAACATAGAACCAATTTTTTTACCAGTTTTTTTTTAGATTTATTTATTTGAGAGAGAGAGAGTGTGTGTGGACAGGAAGAGGGACAGAGGAAGAGGGAGAGAGAGGGGGAGAGAAACAGACTCCCTGCTGAACCCAGAGCCCGGGAGCCCCTCTCAGAGTTCTATCCCATTACCTAAGATCATGACCTAAGCCAAATCAAGAGTCAGACACTTAACAGACTGAGCCACTCAGATGCCCCTGGCCTGTTTTTAAATCTTCATCATCTAATTTTGTGTTGACTTAAAATACTAGACACTTTGAAATTAAGTATTTTGGGTCTTTACTGTGTGTTCTGCAAATGAGACTGTCATAGTAGTTTCTGCCAACTCAGCCTAAATCATGAAATAATGATATAAATACAACACTAAATTTGTTTTTGAAAATTTGTGTTGATACTGAAAAAAATCATAAGATTTGCAGAAGAAGAGATGAAAGGAGTACCACAATGGGAGCTCTGTGGAGAGTGGATTGGAGGAAGGAGACAGGATAAAAAATTACCTGTATTGCAATAGTCTGGTCCAAAGACACTGAACCCCCAAGCAAAAACAACAGCAGCGCAGTTCATGACACTTGGTAACCAATGGGTTGTGGAGGATGAGAGGACAAGTCTAGGACATTTTCTGATTTGTGGACTGAGCATATGGGATGCCACTTAAGATAGAGCATACAGGAGGAGAACCAGTTTAAGGAAGATCGATTCCATTTTGCACATGTTAAGTTGGGATGTCAGTGGAGCACCCCAATGGAAATGTGTGCTGAGTAGTTACAAATAGGTATTAGAAAGATACATGTTTGAGAGTCATCTGCTCCTAGGAGATAATTGACATCCTGAGGGTAAATGGGTTACCTCAGGGAAAGAAGAGAAGAGGGACAAGGATGCAATATCTGATTTGAACACCCTATTTAACCGTTGAGCAGAGGAAAATCCATTATTAAAGATGTCTGTGTTAATGTACTATTGTTACTATTAGAAATCAATATAAACAGTGGCTTAAAACAATACAAATTTATTGTCTTACAGTTCTGGAGGTCAGACATCCCAAATAGGTCCCACTGTGCTAGAATCAAGGTGTTAGCAGGGCTGTGGGGTTTTTGTTTTGTTTTGTTTCTTAAAGATTTTTTATTTATTTACTTGACAGACAGAGATCACAAGCAGGCAGAGAGGCAGGCAGAGAGAGGGAGAGGAGGAAGCAGGCTTCCCACCAAGCAGAGAGCCCGAAGCGGGGCTCGATCCCAGGACCCCGGGATCATGACCTGAGCTGAAGGAAGAGGCTTTAACCCACTGAGCCACCCAGGCGCCCCAGGGCTGTGTTTTTCTAGAGGCTGCAGGAAAGAATTCTTTGCCTTGCCTTTTCCAGTTTCTAGAACCTGCCTGTATTCCTGGGCTCATGGCTCTGCTTCCATACCCGCAGCGTTATCACTCCAACCTCTGTTGCCATTGTCACATTGCTTTCCATACACTTATTTCTTACCTTCGTCTTTCACTTATAAATAAGGACCCTTGTGATTATATTGGACCTGCCCAGATAATCCAGGATAATCTCCCCACTTAAAAATCCTTAATGCCGGGGTGCCTGGGTGGCTCAGTGGGTTAAGCCTCTGCCTTTGGCTCAGGTCATGATCTCAGGGTCCTGGGATCAAGCCCTGCATCAACCCCCGCATCGGGCTCTCTGCTCAGCAGGGAGTCTGCTTCTGCCTCTCTCTCTGCCTGCCTCTGCCTACTTGTGATCTCTGTCTGTCATATAAATAAATGAAATCTTTTTAAAAAAAAATCCTTAATGCCTAGAATAGGGGCAGCTGGCTGGCTCAGTCAGTAGAGAATGGACTCTTGATCTCCAGGTCGTAGAGTTCAAGCCCTGTGTTGGGTGTAGAGCTTACTTTTAAAAAAAATCCTTGGGACGCCTGGGTGGCTCAGTGGGTTAAAGCCTCTGCTTTCGGCTCAGATCATGGTCCAGGGTCCAGGGAGCCCCACATTGGGCTCTCTGCTCAGTGGGGAGCCTGCTTCCCCCTCTTTCTCTGCCAGCCTCTCTGCCTACTTGTGATTTCTGTCTGTCAAATAAATAAATAAAATCTTTAAAAAAGATCCTTAGTTTAATCACATTATCAAAGTCTCTTTTGCCATGAAAGGCGACATATTCACAGACTCTGGAGATAAGAATGTAGACCTCTTTGGGGCACCTGGCTGGCTCAGTCGGTAGAGCATGCAACTCTTGATCTTGGGGTTGTAGTTCTAAGCCCCACATTGAGTGTAGAAATTACTTAAAAATAAAATCTTTTTTTAAAAAAAGAACTCAGGGGCACCTGGGTGGCTCAGTCAGTTGAGTGTCTGACTCTTGGTTTTGGCTCAGGTCATGATCTCCAGGTCAGAAGATCTCAGGCTGGGCTCCTGGCTCAGCAGGGAGTCTGCTCCCCCCCTCCCTCTGTCCCTTCCCCGTACTCACGCACAAAGGCGAATGTGTGTGTGCTCCTTCTCTCTGAAATAAATTTTTTTTTAAAAGGTCGTAGACATCTTTAAGGGACCACTATTCTGCCTGCCAAACACACTAAGAAAGGAACAGTCGGAGAGGGTCCTCTTTAGCTTAGAGAAAGGTATTTTAGAGGCCAAATGAGTTTCATGAGTTAAAAAAGAACTAAAGATATACTGTTGGTTTTGGCAGGAATTATTGGCAATCTTTGCCAGAAGAGTTTCAGCAGGGTGGCATGGCAAAAGGCAAATTACAGTGGGTTGAACCATCAGTGGAATATGAGAAAGTGGAGACTTACTTTTTTTAATCTTTTTTTTTCCTGATTACAAAAATAATACATGCGTGTGGTAAAAAAATAATTCAAACATTTCAGATATAAATGCCCAAAAAATTCCCTGTGATCTACTCCCTAAAGTTTTGGAATCTATTCCTCCATGTTTTTCTTTCTAGATACATACTAATATGTACTTAAACAATGAGATCATTCTATTGATGTTTTTCTTCTTTTTTTTTTTTTAAACTAAACAGTTCATTGTGGTTATCATTATATTTCAGTACAGTCAGATTTGCCTCACTCTTTTTACTACTGAGTAGTATTCCATTGTGTGACTATGTCATAATTTATTTAACCAGTCCCCTATTGATAGACATTTGGATAGTGGCCAGTTTTTTATTACCAGCCATGCTGCAGTGAACACCTTGCACATCTATCTCTGCACACAGATATGAGAATTTCTCTAAGTGATATTTCTAGAATTGCTGGCTCAAAAAGTGTGAACATTTTACATTTGGCTAGTTATTTCCTTTTTAAAAGTTTTACAAATGGGGCACCTGGGTGGCTCAGTGGGTTAAGCCTCTGCCTTCGGCTCAGGTCATGATCTCAGGGTCCTGGGATCCAGCCCCGCATCAGGCTCTCTGCTCAGCAGGGAGCCTGCTTCCCTCTCCCCCTCTGCCTGCCTCTCTGCCTACTTGTGATCTCTTTCTCTCTGTCAAATAAATAAATAACATCTTTTTAAAAAGGTTTTACAAATAAGAAACAAGTAAAAGTTACACAAATAATATATCAGTACATTTTCACTGTAAAAGACTTTACAAAGTAAAATATGTAAGTGTTCACATATAGATCTTTCCCTCTACTCCCTACCAAATCCCATGTCCTTCCCCAAAAATAACCACTGTGTCCTATTTGTATTCATTTTCCTGTTTTTATATGTACACATACACACACACACACACACACACACACACACACACACACAACTTTTAAGCAAACATAAATAGGAACATACTATAGAGATTGTTCTGGGACTTCTTTTTTTTTTTAAGATTTTATTTATTTATTTGACACAGAGAGATCACAAATAGAGAGGCAGGCAGAGAGAGAGGGGGAAGCAGGCTCCCCACTGAGCAGAGAGCCCAATGCGGGGCTCGATCCCAGGACCCTGAGATCACGACCTGAGCCGCAGGCAGAGGTTTAAACCATTGAGCCACCCAGGCGCCCCTGGGACTTCTTTTTTCATTGAATAATATGTCCTGGAGATCTTTCCGTGTTAGTACATATAGATTACATTGTAAATTCAACAGTTGTATGTTATTTCTTGGCATGGATTTGCCATAATTTATATAACCTTCCCCTGCTGAAGGGCATTTAGACTGTTTCCAATTTTTTGTTGTTTTCTTTTTTTTTTAAAGATTTTATTTATTTATTCGACAGAGAGATCACAAGCAGGCAGAGAGGCAGGCAGAGAGAGAGGAGGAAGCAGGCTCCCCTAGAGAGCAGAGAGCCCGATGCGGGGCTCGATCCCAGGACTCCGAGATCACGACCTGAGCCGAAGGCAGCGGCTTAACCCACTGAGCCACCCAGGCGCCCCTAGACTGTTTCCAATTTTTTGTTGTTTTCAATTTACATGTATGTCCATTTCTGTAGGAGAAATACCTTATTTTTTAAGATTTTATTTATTTATCAGAGAAAGAGAGGGAGCACGCACACATGTGCAAGCAGGGGGAGCAGCAGACAAAGGAAGAAGCAGGCTCCCACTGAGCAAGGAGCCCAAAGTGGGACTCGATACTGGGACCCTGGGATCATACTGGGACCCTGGGATCGTGACCGGAGCCAAAGGCAACCGCCTAACCAGCCGAGCCACCCAGGCGTCCCTGTAGGAGAAATTCCTAAAAGTGGAATTGCTGCATCAAAGTGTTTGTTTTGATAAAATTTGATAACATTTTGATAAAAATTGCCAAACTGCCTTCCAAAAATGGAATACCAATTTGTGCTCCAACTAACAGCATATGAGAGTGCTGGTTTACTCATAATCATATTAACACTTGGTTTTCTCAACCTCTTTATACTATGTCCATACAACAGGCAGCAAAAAGTTAACCAATTATTTTAATTTAAAATTGTTTTAATTGTTAGTAATATCGAGCATCTTTTTTTAAAGTTTTTATTTATTTATTTGAGAGAGAAAGAGAGAGAGCAGGAACAGGGAGGATGTTAGAGGGAGGGGGAGAAGCAGACTCCTCACTGAGCAGGGAGCCTGGTACAGGGCTCCATCCCAGGACCCTGGGATCATGACCTGAGCCAAAGGCAGATGCTAAATGACTGACCCACCCAAGTGCCCCAATACTGAGCATCTTTAATCTGCATATTGGTCATTTGTATTTCTTTTTCTGTGATTGGCTTATTTGTGTTATTTGCCAGTTTTCTACTGACTTTCTAGATTTAGTGATTTATAAGCATTTTTCAGATGTTGGTGAAGTTAGCCTGTTATATGTGCTAGAGATACTTTTTCCAATTTGTATTTTTTTTAGGTGTGTGTTTATTTAACCATACAGAAGTTTTAAATTCTAAAGATTTACTTATTTATTTATTGGGGCACCTGGGTGGCGTTCAGCGTCTGCCTTCGGCTCAGGTCATAATCCCAGGATCCTGGGATTAAGCCCCCCATGGGGCTCCCTGCTCAGTGGGGAGTCTGCTTCTCCTCTCCCACTTCCTCTGCTTGTGTTCCCTCTTTTGCTGTCTCTCTTTCTGTGTCAAATAAGTAAATAATATCTTTATTAGAAGAAGATTTATTTATTTGAGAGAGACTGCGTGAGTACACGTGCATTGGGGGGGAGAGGCAGAGGGAGAGGAAAGAATCCCAAGCAGACTCCCCACTGAGCATGAAACCTGATGTGGGGCTCGACCCCACAACCCTGAGATCATGACCCTAGCCAAAACAGAGTCCGATGCTCAACGGACTGGGGCACCCAGGAGCCACAGGAAGTTTTAAATTTTAATATAATTGTATTTACCAGGGACACCTGGGTGGCTCAGTCGCTCTGCCTTCAGCTCAGGTCATGATCCCAGAGTCCTAGGATTGAGCCCCGCATGGGGCTTCTTGCTCAGTGGGGAGCCTGCTTCTCCCTTTGTCTGCCACTCCTCCTGCTTGTACACTCTCTCTCTCTCTCTCTGATGCATAAATAAATAAAATCTTTTTTAAAAATTGTATTTATCAGTCTTTTCCTTTTTTTTGGCTCCTAGTTTTGTATTGTGCTCTAGAACAGCCTTTTCCACTCACAGATTTCAAAACCATGCACTCACGCTTTCTGCTAGTCCAAATTCTGCTTCATTTTTTTGCATTTAAATTCTTTGCTCATCTTGAATTTATTTTGGTATAAGGAGTGACTTCTACATCCAGCACCCTTTATTGAATAATCTGTCTTTGAAATGCCATCATATAATAAATTCCCATGTATATTTGAGGCTATTTGTAGGCACTCTGTTCCTTACTACTGAACTTTTTATTCTATTCATTGTGCCAGTGTCACAGTGTTTTGATTCCACTGCTGCATGCTGTGTTCTCTCTGGTAGAATAGGAAAAGAAAGTGTGTGTGAGAGAGAGAAAGGGAGAGAGACTCCTTATTAATCACTCATCTTTTTCAGCATTTTGTATTTTCCTGGCTGTTATCTCTAAACTTTCAGATGAACTTTGGTTTTATTGTTAGATGCATACACACATTGGAAACTTGGACTCTCTATGACAGTGTGGAGAAAAGGGTCCGGCAGGGGCTGACCTTAAAATTGCTCCATCGGAGGGGCGCCCAGGGGGTTCAGTCAGTAGAGCATGCAACTCTTGGTCTCAGGGTTGTGAGTTTGAACCCCACGTTGGACATAGCGCTTACACTTAAAAAGAAAGAGAGAGAGAGAGCTATGGGAGTTAGGACAAAGCACCCTACCCTTTCTTTCCTTTTTTAAAGACTTTGTTCATTTATTTGTCAGAGAGAGAGAGCACAAGCAGGGGGAGCTCCAGGCTCCCCATTGAGCAAGGAGCCTGATGTGGCACTCGATCCCAGGACCTGGGATCATGACCTTAGCTGAAGGCAGATGCTTAACCGAGACACGGAGGTGTCCCATACCCTACTGTTTCACTGGCTGGGGCTAGGAGGGTCTGGTCTGCAGAATCAGGGCAGAGGATCACTAGGAATCTATGGGATTGGGAGCTGAGAAAAGGGCCCTCTGAGACCCCTGGTTCAGTTCTAATCTGTCTTCTCCCCCATCCTTAGGATATGAGGGACAGAATTTGGGGAAGATCCTCAAGGATTTAGAGATGAGTAAGGTGGTACATATGGATCGATGGTCCGTGGAGGTGATACCTCAACAAACTGAAGAAAAGAGTGACCCAGTCCCCTTTCAAATCATCAATAACTACTTCTCCATTGGTGTGGTCAGTGAAGTGGGGTATGGGGGCTAGGGAGGAAATATGGGTTAAGCAGTAAGAAGCTAGAGCTGGTTAGAAAGAGGAGGTAGAGGTTAAGGGAGCTGTGACACAGGGAAATGGTGGGTGGGGTACAGTGGTGAGAGTTGCAAGAAAAGACCATGGGACATACTGCTACCAAATGGGGGAGTTAAAGAGAGTGTTCTGTGCTGAGAGAGGAGGCAGGCCTCTGATCCTACATGCCCTGAACTCCCCAGGATGCCTCTATTGCTCACCGATTCCACATCATGCGAGAGAAATATCCTGAGAAGTTCAACAGCAGGTGAGGGAAAGGAGGGTGGGGGTGGACATACACAGTGGCAGGGACCAGGCTGTGGCCAGGTTTGACTCAGAGCACTTACACGGCCCGTGGCACCTGGGAGAAGCCCCTTAGCCAAAGCCATCCTCTTCCCTAAGGACCAGAGTCAGGAGGCTGATGTCCTTCCCTGTCACTTAGCCTTCCTCTGCCAGCACTGTGTAACTTGTCCCCTCCCTCTTGGGCCTTTTTGGCACTGACACAGAATGAAGAACAAGCTATGGTACTTTGAATTTGCCACTTCTGAATCCATCTTCTCAACATGCAAAAAGCTGGAAGAGTCTTTGACAGTCGAGGTGGGTATGATGAGACCCAACCCTACATGCTTCTCACTTATTTATCTTAGTTTCTCCCTCCACAGGTGCCCTCAGGAACTTCCCCCATTCTTAAACCTATTACTTCAACCTCCCAGCTCTCCAATCCCAATGTCCCAGGTTTTCAATACACTGGTCCCTATTTCCTGCCATCCTTTGCAAACCCCCAATTCCTGGCCTTCCCAGTTTGTCATCTGGTGGGGGGAGGAGTGGTGTCCATGATGATGCCAGAAGGGAAGGACTTATGCTCTCCTCTTTCTCAGATCTGTGGGAAACCACTGGATCTGAGCAGCCTGTCACTAGAAGGCATCGCTGTGCTGAACATCCCTAGCATGCATGGTGGTTCCAACCTCTGGGGTGACACCAAGAGACCTCCTGGAGACACCCATGGGATCAACCAGGCCTTAGGCACTACAGCTAAAGTCATCACTGACCCAGATATCCTGAAAACCTGTGTACCAGGTGAGCAGCCTTGGAGCTGAGTGGGCAGGACTAAGGGGAAGGTGTGGCTCCCTTTGGAGGCACGCTGCTTCTCCAAAACCCATCTCCTTACTTCCCACCCACAGACCTAAGCGACAAGCGGCTGGAAGTAGTAGGGCTGGAGGGTGCAATTGAGATGGGCCAGATTTATACCAAGCTCAAGAATGCTGGACATCGGCTGGCCAAGTGCTCTGAAATCACCTTCCAGTAAGGAAAACTCTGGCCAGCGGCTCTGAGGGAAGGAGGGGGGACAAGAGAGCAGAAGGGTCATGGGGATGGTAGGGAGGAGCTGTACTAGGACAGTAACTCAGTAACAAAGAGTCTTTCAACCAAGCTAAGAAACAGAGTTTTGGTATTCAGTTGGTAAAGAAATCTCCACCAATCTGCCTTGGCTTCCCACAGCACCACAAAAACCCTCCCCATGCAAATCGATGGAGAACCCTGGATGCAGACACCCTGTACGGTGAGTGTTCCTTCACCTGCCCAAAACTGAACCCTCAAGCTTCATGGATCCTAAACCTGCATTCCACAGCTTCCTTACGCCATCCCATCTCAAGTTCCCCTGTGCATCTTTCTTTCCAAATCACGGTTTCTTAGCCCCTGGCCTTCCTGCCATGGCCTCTCTAGGACCCTGGTAAGTCCCCTTCACCCCACAGATTTACCCTCAAATCTCTACTGCTCCAGTCCCAAGGGAACCAGGTCCTGCCTCTGAACTTGACCCCTTCCCTTCCAGATCAAGATCACCCACAAGAACCAGATGCCCATGCTTGTGGGCCCACCCCCTCGCTCCTCCAATTTCTTTGGCTTCTTATGCTGAGGGGGACACCTCAGCCTCCAAGCCAGCCTTGAACCCACCTCTTCGTTCCTGGACTCTACTCCTAGGCTCTGTACATTGCTGCCACGCCCTCCTGCCAGCTCAGGGGAGTGTTCCTCCACCCTCACGGTATTTATTATCCTTGCACCACCTCTACTATTCCCCACGCACACGTACACGCATGCGTGTGTGCGTGTACACACACACCCACACCCCCACACACACATTGAAAGTGCCTCATCTGAATAAAATGACTTTTTTCCCCACACTGGGATATCTGTTAAGTAAATGGTACACCTCCTTCCCATATACCTCCCCTCCTCAAATGACATAGATGCTCCCAGAAGCAAGAAAAAAACCAGCATCAGGTTCTGAGTATTTATTTCAGGTAATGGTAGTCTCCAGGGGAAGACTGGAGAAAAGATAGGCATGGCTGTCCACCCTCAGCAAATCACAGCATCACGTGAGACTACTCAGACCTGCTGCTGCCCACTGAGGAGGGGCCTGTTCTCACCAATGGGGCAAGAGCGGAAGACCCGGGGCAGCCGCAGCCAATGAGTGCTACCATGTGGCAGCTGGGGAACCGGGAGAGCTGAGCCCTGCTTCAGAAGTCTTTGCCTGAAATTGGGAGAAGAAGGCAGAAACTGATTAGCAATGGACAAGGGAAGCCTATCTGTGCTTCTCCAAAACAGAGGCCCCCGGTTTACTTGACCTTGATCCTAGCTCCCTCCCATTCTCACCAACAAGTTTCATCTTGTCTTGTTTTTATGGTAACCTCTGTCCATTCCCCTCTTACCCTACAAGCTTCCCGGCTATGAGGACCTTGGCATTCTAGGCCTGAGGATCTGCCCTTCTCACATATGGGCAGAGGACTCAGGTCACCCAATTTCCTCCACTCTTTTTATTTTTTTTTTAAGATTTTTATTTATTTGATAGAGAGATCACAAGTAGATGGAGAGGCAGGCAGAGAGAGGGGGAAGCAGGCTCCCTGCTGAGCAGAGAGCCCGATGCAAGGCTCGATCCTAGGACCCTGAGATCATGACCTGAGCTGAAGGCAGAGGCCTAACCCACTGAGCCACCCAGGCACCCCAGTTTACTCCACTCTTGATATTATTTTTTTTAAGATTTTATTTATTTATTTGACAGAGAGAGATCACAAGTAGGCAGAGAGGCAGGCAGAGAGATAGGGAGAAGCAGGCTCCCCGCTGAGCAGAGAGCCCGATGTGGGGCTTGATCCAAGAACCCTGGGATCATGACCTGAGCCAAAGGCAGAGGCTTAACCCACTGAGCCACCCAGGTGCCCCCACTCTTGATATTATTAATAACAATAGTCATCAGTATCATCACTTATTATACTCCTGCTTCAGAGCTGGGTGCTTTACCCACATTATCTCTAATCCTTACAACAGTCCCTTATGGCAGATACTAGTTTTCCTACTTATTAGAGGCTCAGAGATGTTAAGCTACTTTCCCAAGGTCCCTCCAGCCAGACTACAGCCCAGGTCCATTTAACTTCCAAGTTTGGGCTCTTTCCTTGGATACCATGCTTCTTCAAAAGAAGTGGTGGTTTCTTCTCCTCTTGAGGAAAAATGAGTAGTGGTAATAAGGGATAAGGGGGGTGTGAACTAGACAGTGGGACCCTCACCTATATATCAGAGATACAAGCACCGTAGCCATCAACACCAGCAAGATGCCCACAAACAGGGGAGCCTGTCCAAGTCCTGCTTCTTGACCTGTGAGCAGAATCCCAGGCTTCAGTTAGCGTCTGCTCCCTGCCACATAGCCTCTGCCCATTCCCCGTCTTCATCCTAACTCTTGTCCAGGTACCTACCAGGCATTACAAGCTGGGTGCTGACCATTGCCAGACTGTTGGCATCGGCCAAAGACACATTGAGGCAGTAGGTCCCTGAGCCACCCTTCAGGACTTGGTGTAAAACCAGCTGGCAGGCGGGGCTGGGTGGCACAGGCTGACAGAGCCGCTGGGCAGGGGGCCGGCAGCCTGGTGAGGAGATGTCCATGCAAGCTTCCTTGGGCAGCCTGCAAGAGGTGTCCAGCTTAAGTCAGGGCAACTGGGAAGGAGCACTAGACACCAGAGAGCAATGCAACAGTCAACCTAAGAGTTCTCAGGACAACTAGTGGAACACTCACCCTCCTTGGCAAGAAACTGTCAGCTCAAATGCATCCCCTTCGCTGGATGGCACAGCCTGCAGGATCTCAGCTCTCTCAATACCCCCTGCAAAGTTGCAAGGTTTAGGTCTGGGATGCCTCTACCAGGCCTCTCCAAAGGCCCACAGAGAGGAGAACCCTAGGCCTGCTTCCCCAATCCCATCCCTGCCTTCAAAAGAAAAACCCTGGGATTTGAGTGTTCTTGTCCCAGTGAGTAACTCCCTCCAAGGTATGCTTCCACTGGCCGGCCTTAGGCAGTACACACCTCCCTCCACCAGGCCCCAAAGCAGTCAAGACTCACGGACAATGTCCAGGGTGAGCGAAAAGGAGCCGTATCGATATAGAACACAATCCAGGGGGGTCTGTCGCTTTGCCAGGATTAAGGTAGCTGCATCATCCAGCAGGGGACTCTGGGAACCTGGCAGGAGAGGATTGAAGAAGAGACAAATGACTCACCTGGAAGTAGAGGCCACACAGGCATTTTTCTAGGTAGACCCAGAGCTGGTGGATCCTGACTTGGAATCAGACAAGACCTGGAAAACCTTATTTTAAAGATAAGGAAACTAGAGCCCAGAAGGAGGAATGGGCACCCTAGAGTCACACAGTTAGGAGTAGAGTTGGAGTTTTAAGAAATCCCAAATGTTTCTCTCCCCCCACATTGTGCTGGGTCCTTGGCTAGACACGACACAAGTGCCACCCTGTCACGCCTACCTTTTCAGCGTTCCTACCACAATTTCAGGTTGACCTGCTTTAGGATAGAATCCAGGGATGGGAAATGGTGCCAGAATCTAAGACAGAATATTATGCATTTATACTTGCACAGAAAAGTGAGATCCAATTATTATGTAAATGACCACGGTGTGTTCCCTGGCCTTCTCCTCAGGAAATAGCTCTCCTCAGGGACAGAGAAGGAGCAAGCACTTGCTCCATGGCCCAGGGGAAGACCCTGGTTTCCTGAACTCCAGATCTATTCCATGTTACTAAGAGGGACTTGAGGGCCGAAAACTATGGGAGCTCCGAAGAGCTTTGAGCTCTTCAGAGTAGTGACAAATGCCCCACCCCAATGAACCTTATTCACACTGGCCCTCTTACCTGTAATACCTTCCGTAGACACGAAGGGGTTGGCATCTGGACCCTCAGGCTCAGGTGTGGGCATCTCTCCAGCTGTGGGCTCCACCGACTCTTTCGTTGTTACCTGTGCAGCTGTGGTTCCAGAGTGCTCTGCGGTTGACCCTTCACGGGTTGTACCTACAGTCTCTGCAAGTGTGGTACCTGTGACCTCTGAGCTTGGCACCTGCTCAGCTGTAGTACCTGTGCCCTCTGTGCTTGACACCTGTACGAGTGTAGTGACCTCCGTGGTCGGCATCTGCACAGCTGTGGTTCTGGAAGGCTCCGAAGTTGGCACCTGACTACGTGTAGTACTTCTGACTTCTGCAGTAGGCACGTGCCCAGCTGTGGTGCCAGGGGCCTCTGCGGTTGGCATGTGCCCATCTGTGGTGACTGGAACTGGGGAGGAGCCACAGGATGTGAGAGGAATGGCAGCCTGCAGCACCACCTGGGCAGTGATTGGGCCGGACTCTAGGTAAGTGTGAGTGACCACAAGGGCCCGAGAGATCAGGGTCCCAGTATGGTCTCCAAAGTCCCAGGTGTAGGAGAGGTCGGCCCCGGACAAATAACCACTGGGGTCATGGAGCTGGAGGGCAAAGGTCAAAGGATGATTTCTCAGGAAGTGCTTGTTCCCTCCATCCAAGGCCTGCAGCTGGGACACACTCACGGAGAAGGGCACCTGGTCTGGGATTGGAGCCAGAAAAGGTGAGAACTAGACCTGGGCCACAGCTGCTTTCACAGCCACACCCTCCAACTCAAGCTGACTGGACCTTCACTGGCTCCAAGCCCCACATTCTTCCGCCCACGTCTTCCTGGCTCTGCCCCTTTAAGGTTACACACCATTTCCCCTTTCCCCATTCTATTTTCCCCTTTCCCTTCTCTCCTTTCCAGTCAGGCCAGGCCTCCCCATCTTTTACCTCCTTACAACTGGCTCTGCCCCTTCCTGAATCCTTACCCGTAATGGTGAAGGCTGAGCAGGAGTGAGCAAGGGGCACGTAGCTCTGGGACTCCCTGCGGTGGTAGACAGTCACTTCCATGGTATGTGTGCCCAGCATTGCCTTGCCTGTCACAATGCTCAGTCCTGACACTGGGCCCCCCAGAACTTGCCAGTATTGGCCTGTGGTTTTTGAAAAGAAAAGCAGGGGTTGGGGAGGTACTGATCAAAGGCAACGGAGGGGAAGGATTAGAGACAGGACATCAGAGAAGGAAGGTCAAGTAATCTATTAAGTATGGTTATTTCAGATAGTATTTGGAAGGTTGTCCTATGAGGGTCAGGAAAGGAATCCTGGTAAGGGGCTCCATGGGATTGGACAATAATTGGGGAAGGGCCCCCAGAAACAATTATAGAGAGTTGGAGGGGGCTAGGTGCTATAGAAGAGGAAAGAGCCATGGGGGCAATGAAGATTAGGGAAACTCACAGAGCAAAATGAAACGGGATCAGGTAGGAAGAGGTGAATCCAAGTATGGATGAGACTCACCCCAGGTCTTCCAGACATAAACAAAGCTTCTTGTCTGAGACCAAGGGCCAGATGGGCAGGCCCTCCCATCAGGGAAGATGCAGGCATCGTCAGGTACCTGGGGATACACTGGCTGTCCTCTCCACACCTGGCTCCCTGAAGGGTAGATACAAGAGTCATCCTTGAAACCTGGCATTCCTTTCTATACATCAAAACCCCTACCAGGGCTCCCAGAGGGGGGCTGTGGGAATACTCCTTAGCTACATAGTATGTTCCCTTTGCTATCACCCATTTGGGGTGGTAGCAGAAAGAATGGAAACTGGAATTAAAGATCCATATGTACTCAATGACAGACAGAGGAAAGAGACTGGAATATCATATATCAACATGTTTACAGTGGTTTGCCCTAGCTAGTGGGATAAAAACAATAAGAGCATCAGCTAACACTTACTGGGCCTCACCTTAGCCTAGGGTAGGTATTATGCTCAATTCTTTATATATTATCACATTTTAATCCTTACAACAAATGTTCAAGGTGGGTATCCTTGTATCCCCATTGTACAGAGAAGGCAATGGAAACACAGAACAGTTAAGTAACTTGCCCAGGGAAACATACTATTTATAAATTTAAATCTATGTCTGTCTAAACTCTAGGTCCACTGGGCCTTTTGTCCCCAATTTTGCATACTATATATATTTTTTTGCTTTATCTGTGTTTTTAAATTTTTTTTCTACAATGAATATTATAGAATATGTATATAATTTGCTAAAAAACAAAAAGTAGGGGGAAGGGGGACACTCCTTGAGCTCACGGGGGACGCCAACCAATCTGAGCCCTTGGAATAAGGGCCTGGAGTAGAGAGGTACTCACCATTGATGATGGTGTTGTTGGCCCAGACGACCTGCCCATCTGGTAGCACCTTTTGGCTTTCGGGGAAGTGCAGCACAATAGAGAAGGATGCATTTGCCCCAACCAGTGTAGGCCCATCATTACTGACCTTCAAGGACACTTGGCCACCTGGGAAGGACTAGCTGCATTAGCTGGGACTCCTTGGTTTTTCCTCCCCTTATACCTTTCCCCTTCCCATCTTCCCAAGCTCCATTCAACCCATATCTTGCTCCTCTCGGCATCCCATGCCCCCCTGGAAATTGCCAATTTCCCACCTCTCCAGCAGTCAGGCCTCTGTATTTCTGCCCACTCTGGATACAGCTGCCTGTTCCAGGCTTTAGTTGTAAGCTGCCTTGGGACACCAAGCCAGTCCTGGTTTCTGGGTCCTGTAAAGAAGGTACCATGAAGGCTCTAGGTTCACCCCTCAGTCCCTTGTCAGGGGATTTTATTTTATTTTATTTTTTTAAAGATTTTATTTATTTATTTGACAAATACAGATCACAAGTAGGCAGAGAGGCAGGCAGAGAGAGAGAGAGGAGGAAGCAGGCTCCCTGCTGAGCAGAGAACCCGATGTGGGGCTCGATCCCAGGACCCTGGAATCATGACCCAAGCCAAAGGCAGAGGCTTTAACCCACTGAGCCACCCAGGCGGCCCTGTCAGGGGATTTTAAATTACTGAATAGCCACCATGTACCACTCACTATGCTAGGTACAAAGGACTTAAGAAATGAATAAGATACGGCCCTGGAGGGATTCAAGACATGTCCATACAATTCTAATAATTCAAGGCACTGCTTAATATGAGCCATAACAGACATGCACAAAGTGCAACAAAACAACAGACTAAAGAGATTGGTTCCACTCTGGCAGATTGGGAAAGACCACTGGAGTGAGGAGTTGGCCTGTGGGATAGAGCACTCTGGGCAGAAGGACCAGCACAAGAGGATGCATGGAGGCATGATAGAAACTTCCCGTGTGGTTGATACACACTGTAAGAGATGAGGCCAAGAAGACAAGTAAAGGCCCTGAGTACCAAGCAAAAGAATTTGGCCTTTATTCTGTAGGGTAGGCCACAGCAAGAGATTGTGTTTGTTTCATTGAGACATAATTCCTATAGCATAAAATTTACCCTTCAGAAGCCTTTTGAATATGACCAGATCTGTGTTTTTGAAGGACCGCCATGGCAAGCATTGTAGAGGATGGATCAGAGGCAGGCAGAATTTCGGAGTGGGGACCAAGCAGACAAAATTATAACTGACCAAGAGAGAGGGCTGAGAAAAAAGGACATGATCTGATATGATCATATTTCAGGCTTCTCCTACCCATTTGATTTAGCGATGGCATGGGCATCTGAGCTCCCTCATATGATATGAAAAAAGGATCTAGGGGCACCTGGGTGGCTCAGTGGGTTAAGGCCTCTGCCTTTGGCTCAGGTCATGATCTCAGGGTCCTGGGATTGAGCCCTGCATCGGGCTCTCTGCTCGGCAGGGAGCCTGCTTCCCCCTCTCTCTGCCTCCCTCTCTGCCTCCTTGTGATCTCTGTCAAATAAATAAATAAAATCTTTTTTAAAAAAAAGGATCTATATACGCCTCACCCAGGTACAACAACTATCAACATCTTGCCACATTTGCTTTATCTGTCCTTTGTTGTTTTTGTTTGTTTATTTGTTGGCTAAAGTACTTAGAAGCAAACTGCAGACATCTTGTTATTTTAACTCTACAATTTCAGTACGTATCTGTAAAAAATATGAACATTTTCTTAAATAAGCACAATGTCTTTTCACAATGGACAACATTATAGAACCCAATTCATATAAAATTTCATGAATATCTAAAAATATCTTATGATTGAAAAACCAGTATCCAAAAAGTAAGCACAATCTTTTAAGAGGCTCAGGTAGACAGGTATGAACAGAATGTTTCCAGAATACATTAAGGAAATAGTAAAGAAAAAGACTTGAAACTGCAGCATAGAAGAGGGAAGTCAGATCAAGGAGAACCTCCCAAAAGTCTGGAGACCAAGGATCTAGAGAGACAAAGGGGAGAGTGGGATATGATATCTATATTTTAGCACAGGAGAAACTATCTTCACTCCATTTCTAATGTGTACTGGAAACCTAGCTGAGTCTGCGGGGGGCGGGGAGGGCGTCTAGAATCATCTAATTGAGCATCTCACCACTAGAGTAAGAGAATCATAAGATATCCCATTCTTTCTTCACTCCCAACCCTCCCTCCTCAGAGCAGCACGGGACATTCCAGACCCTCTCACCACCCCCACCCCCACGCCTTGCTCCTGTCACGAGGCCCCAATCCCCCAGAGCCTTTTCATGTGATGCTCAGCTGAGACCCCTCTGTCTGTCTCTTCCAGCCCTAGAACAAAAGCATGAGCTGTGTTCACCCATCCCCATCCCAAAGAGGGGAGGTGGTACCTCCTTACCTTTTCTATCCAATGCCATATTCTTTTAGTCCTCACCCTATCCCAAGTTCCTGAGTCATTCCCTAAGTCTTCCATGTATTCCCTTTTGAAGCCCCTGCTCCAGCTCATTGTCCAGGGAGCCTCAGAATTAGGGCCACAATGACCCACTATCCTTTTGCCCTTCCAAGCAGATGGGATTATTTTCAAGCTCAGTCCCAAATCTCCGCATAGTGAGGGAGCTCAGATGCCCATGCCATCGCTAAATCAAATGGGTAGAAGAAGCCTGAAATATTGCTGTTATCTCCCATGAGGAGGGGAAAAACCAGAGCAGGTGTGCAACCACAAATTCACACTTGTTCATGTCCACACACCCCACACTCACCTTCTGTGGCCCCCACAGCCAGAAAAGAACTCATCACAGCCATAAAGAGAAGGCATTTTCTCAGCACCAGACTCATCTTGTTCTTTCTTCCAGCAACGAAAGACACCGAGGGGCTGGGACAAGCCCCTATATAGGAGAGGGGTGCTCATTTGCATAGCCCTTCCTCCTCTCCCTCCAGAAGAAGCTTGGGAGGGGCAGGAGGACCAGAGAAAGGCAGAACTGACAAGGGATCCTGGTCACTGGACATCCGCTACTCAATGACAGTTTTTGGTTTCACTAGGTCACACCCTTCTTGACTGGGAAATCGGAAATAATTGGTGGAAGGTCAACTATGTAACATGTATCCGACACATAAAATTCATCATAGGCTAGTGAATCAATCTAGTTTTTGAGTCAAGCCAGGAAACCTCTCAGAAACAGAGGCCCTGCATCCCAAAACAGAGACAGAATAAGCTGGGTAAAAGAGGCGGGATGAACATCTTTGAGGCCCAGAAAACCCACACAACAAGATTCCTAGCTTCCTGCTATTAAAACAGAGCTTCTGGGTCAGGTGGAATTTAATCTTAGGACGAGACACATTTTCCCTAGGGTTGGTGAAACGGCAAATTAGAGATCAGGAAATCCCTACAGATTCAGAAACAGGTGAGAAACTCGACTTCAAACCAGGTACTTGGAAAAAGACATTTAGCTTCCCCACCGAGACAGAAACTTGTGTTAAGTAGCCTCAGAACTAAACTTGCGTGAGGTGGAGTCATCTGCGGCGGCTAGGGCGCTGGACTCACCCTCCGCTCTGACGCTAACCAATAGGAAGGGTTAGGGGCGGAGCTAGGGAAACGCGGGAAGGAGGGGCGGGGCCTCTGGTGGCGGTAGGGAACTGGAGGGGAGGCGGCAACATTGTTTCAAGTTGGACAAATTGACAAGAGCGAGAGATACACTCCGTTCCATCCCGACCTGGGGCCGCAGAGCTGGGCGGGTTTCCCCCTCCTCCACTCCCCGAGAGCCGGGGCCCGCCTTTTGCAGGGTTCCCAGGCCCCAGCTCCAGGGCCGGGCTGACCCGACTCGCTAGCGCTTCATGGAGAACTTCCAAAAAGTGGAAAAGATCGGAGAGGGCACGTACGGAGTTGTGTACAAAGCCAAAAACAAGGTGACGGGAGAAGTGGTGGCGCTTAAAAAAATCCGCCTGGACACGTGAGTGGCCTCTGTACCCGGGACTCCTCTAACTCGGGAGCTCCTTGAGTGCCCCCCGCCCCCACCCCAAGAGGCGGGTAGCCGTCCAAGGACCGGAAGGTAGCAGGGAGGGACTTCTTTTGAAGTGGAGAGGTGGGTTGGAGGACAGTGAAGGGTTTCCCTGTGGAGAGTATAGGGCACTGTAGAATCTACGGGAAACTTCTTCCCCAAAGCCGAGTGATGCCCCCAAATGTGCAGTCAGAAAGACTCAGAAAGAGGAAGGAGGCCTCAGAGATGGGGTCCAGGACTCTCCGTAGAGTTGGGTTTTGTGGGAACCGGTGAAGAGCACCTTTCTGAATGAAGAGCCCTCCTCACTGCCCCAGCCCCACCCTCATCTTAGAATTCTCTACCTCTTTCAAAAGAATGGCAGTTGAACCTCACTGGCCCCTCTAGGGAGGCTGGGTGCTGCTACTCCTATTTTTTCCCAGTTACCTTCTCTCTTCTTGACCTCCACCAGAAGGCTTTACTTACCTACCCCTGGGAAAAGAAGAAATAATGACCTTAACGTATCCAAAAACCACTCCCTGTCCACCCATGAATTAACTCCTACAGCACCCTTTCTCTTTTCTCACTTTCCTAGGGGATGCTGGGGTGGTCTCTCATTGGGAGGAAAAGAATGACTGGGCTGGGGGGAAAGGAGTATTTGTAACCACATTCCTATCTCTGCTTTCTCAACCTCTCCAAGTGAGACGGAGGGTGTACCCAGTACTGCTATACGAGAGATCTCTCTGCTTAAGGAGCTTAACCACCCTAACATTGTCAAGTAAGTATACACCTAGAAAGTGCTCTGACAGTGAAGGAGAATGTGCTCTGTCTGTGTAGCCTGGGTATTACTCTAACTCACCTCCATTCCTGGACCTCCCTTACCTAGGCTGCTGGATGTCATCCACACGGAAAACAAACTCTACCTGGTTTTTGAGTTTCTGCATCAGGATCTGAAGAAATTTATGGATGCCTCTGCTTTGACTGGCATTCCTCTTCCCCTCATCAAGGTAATCCTTCTCATCAACTCCTCCCCAACATGGGCAAGTTTTGTGGGTACTGAAAGGGGGCAATTCAGACAGTGATGATTTTTAATCTTGGCTTCCTTCCCAGCCCTCATCCCCCTACACACACACACACCTTTCTTTTGTGGCTCTTTCACTGCTCATTATGCTTATTAACCCCTGGGCTGGTCAGGAGAATCAAAGAAGTTGAAACTCTAGTGAGTCAACTAGATGCACAGGTGGAAAGTCAGATGAAACTCCGATAAATGGGATGAGGGCACTTGGTAGATTCCTCCAAGAAGCCCTTCCATTTGTTTGGTAAGAGAAATATTCAGTGAATCACTGCTGTCTGTTCTAGGGCTGGGTTCTTTACTCCCTGAGCTACTTTCAGTCTGTCAACAAGCATTTATTCAATGCACATTGAGCACATTCAATGTGCTAGGCACAGGATATGGAAAAGAGATGCAAAACTAAATAAGACCTGGTCCTTGTCTTCACTGGAAGGGCCTCTCACTCCATGGGGAGATACAGTTTATAAACATGTCATTATAATCCAGTACAGTAAAAGGCTGTAGTTAAGCTTTGCAGTCAGAGAGTAGACCCTAATAGCTCACTGTGGTAGAGAAACAAAGTCCTCTCTCTCTTCTTTGTCAGAGCTATCTGTTCCAGCTGCTCCAGGGCCTAGCCTTCTGTCATTCTCATCGGGTTCTGCACCGAGACCTCAAACCTCAGAATCTGCTTATCAATGCAGAGGGGGCCATCAAGCTAGCAGACTTTGGACTAGCCAGAGCCTTTGGAGTCCCTGTTCGTACTTACACCCACGAGGTGAGACCCTCTCTGCATTTCTTCTCTGAACTTCTGGGAGGTGTTAACAAGGACATTCACAAAATTACTAAACCTACCTGGCCAGCAGTTTCTCTCTCCACTAGATGGAAAGTATCTCTGGCACCCCAAGAAGTTTTAGAGTATGCACTGAGTTCATACTGTGGGGCTAATTGCGCTTTGATAGGTACCAAGCCAGGAAAGCTGGATGGCACACTATTAAAATTATGACCGCTTGTCTCAAGTTTTCCAGGAGGGTTGCAAATTGTGGGTTCAGAAAATATGGTCCTCAGAGTCCTGGGCGAGGCTAACTCTGGTCCAAGAAGTTGTATGTAGTCATTTAATGAGGGGAAGTCAGAAATATGGGAAGGATGAAGGGAAAGAGAGTTAGCAGAGTAACACTGAGGAGCTGAGATATGGGAATCACCATGCCCTGTGCACCACCCCTCCTCTTCCTGCTCTTGTCCCCAGGTGGTGACCCTGTGGTACCGAGCACCTGAAATCCTTCTGGGCTGCAAGTACTACTCCACAGCTGTAGATATCTGGAGTCTGGGCTGCATCTTTGCTGAGATGGTATGGAGGCAAGCCCAAGTTCCACCCAGCTCACTCTTCCCCATATTTAAGAACACCAGAACTATTTCTCTGCCTAGACCCGTGGCCCTTCTGTTATCATAGGACTTCTTTCTCTAGAGTAGCACCAAGGCGGGTAGGGGGGAAAGGACAGGACTGTTGTCCCTGATGTCAACCACAATGTTGGTACAGCCTCAGACGGCCTTAGCCCTCAATACACATCTCCTATCGACAAATTGAGCTAAATCTGTAGCTGTTTTAGCTTTAGTTTGCATTTATTTGGGAGAATGAGTACCTACCATTCGGTGCCTCCTTCATTTGGCCTGTAGACCTTATTGTAGGGTTCCAGGAATACAGCGAAACCAACTGTATTCACCTTATCCATACTGTTTATTTAAACTACAAACTTAAATCATGTCCCCCTCGACTTCTGGCTCTTCAGAATAAAGGATCCCCAAGACCTAGCCTTTTATAGGAGCTTTTGTCCCCTTTAATATAACAGTGGAGTGGGCTGCATTTTCAAATCAAATCAGCAATTTGTTTTATGGTCCTTTATTTGGGTTGTAACTGGGGGCTTAGAGACCATTAGCCTGTATATAAAATATGCATTTATCCCCCAGTACATTACCTTACAATTGCCCATATTCCTCTCTCAATTCATCAAAAAATATTTGTTAAGCACCTAGTGTGTACCCAGCACCAGGGTAGGTGCTGTGGGGAACACAGAAGAAATGGAAGACACAGTCTCTGCCCGCTGTGCTCCTATCTAGAAGTGGCTGCATCACAAGGAGGGGGGATGACCGCAGTGTCTACCCCACACCCCGTGAGTGGCTTGGGATCCCTTTGCTACATGTCAGTGGCACCCCAGACATTCACCCCCTCCCAGCCCCACCCAGCCTTGGGGATCTGCAAAGGCATGGTTGGGGGAAGGAAGGAGGGGGCGAGGAGAGAGATGAAGGGACTTCATTGTCTCAAGCTCTGTGTGACTGACCCCATGAAAGGCCCTGGGGAGGGAGTCATGGGGCCCTGCTGACCTTCCACTGCCTGTGGGAACCTCCATTGCACAGGGAGCAGCTTTGACTGATGTCAGTGCGGGTCTTGGCCTTTTCTCTTTCCCCATTTTCAGGTGACCCGCCGGGCCTTATTCCCTGGAGATTCTGAAATTGACCAACTTTTCCGGATCTTTCGGACTCTGGGGACCCCAGATGAAGTGGTTTGGCCAGGAGTTACTTCTATGCCTGATTATAAGCCAAGTTTCCCCAAGTGGGCCCGGCAGGATTTTAGCAAAGTTGTTCCTCCCTTGGATGAAGATGGACGGAGCTTGCTATCGGTGAGAGTTGGGGATGGGCACCCATTTCCTCTCATTTACTCCCCTAGGGCAGGTTTTTTTCCAGGATGAAGGAAGATGAGACCCTGGACTCTGAGTCTTGGCATTTCCCTAGCCCCTGCTTCTCTCTCTCCCTATTGGCAC